TGCCGAGATTAGGCGTGCCACTGCAAATTTCCGGATGACCAACTGCACTCCTTGCAAATTCTGCGGAATTTTTCAAGCAGTTGGATGAACCATGACAAGCTTCTTTTATAAAAAGGTTTGTAATTGTTTCAATGTCGATATTCCTTGAACTTTTATGATGGAACCACTCTGTCTCCGTTCCTAAAGAGTGAAAGCGCTGTTGTCCATTTCTTGTGATAAGCCAAGAATGTGTTATTTCATAGGCAGTGTCCACAACAGATGCTTGAAAAACATAGTGTGCAGTGTACTGTTTTTTACGTAGAGTAATACTTTTTTTTCAAGCTCTGATAGAAGAAAGGCGAATGAACCCTCCCGGGGCTTGAATCTGGACCCTTATGCGTTTTAGTGCACGCACTACCGACTAATCAACCGCTGTTTAAAGCACAGTGCTGAGAAAATGTTTTCTCAAAGTTCTTTGTAACTATAATATTGAAACTTAATATATCGGTGAATCAAACAACTCTAATTGAACATGACAGAAATTTAACTGTTATATATATTTAGATTGGTGTATTACAGACTTCGAGTGTTTATTAATACAACTGTAATCCTGTAATAATACCTTGCAATCAATTTTAAAAGCAGCGCAAACTACAGTTTCAGTTGTCATTGTATTTGCTTCGGAAAGCATATTGTCGTTTTCTTGTGTTTTAAATTATGCTCTGTTTTTCTTGGAGCTGCTTAAGGAAAGTATTGGTTATCAGTTTAAACTATTAAGATTAAGTCTGCGTTCAGAAGCGCTCTACCTTTGGCAGGAAGAAGCTTAGACAACAAAAATATGAATATCCATAATGAAAATAAAATAAAGCGGCCGGAACGGGAAATCTACCGTCCTGGCATGTTTCGAGGTAAGGGGCACCGAAACGACGAGGCTCCGAGGTCGAAAAAACCCGACCAGCTTTTGTACGTTCCACCAAAAGCGAAGAATCAAGACGGAACTCTGATGAAACAGGTAACCGTAGCTGGTGATGGTGCTTGTGCTGCTTCTTGCGTCGTAGGAGACAGTGACAGATTTTCAGCCGGAAGTCGATTAGAAAACAGGGTATTTCATAGTGCGGAACATCTACTGACTCATTCCAACTACGATGGCATTGAGCAGAATGTTAAATCGAGAAGGGAGGGTTGTGACGGTGGATATAACTACCCGAGAACAGAGCGCAATAGGCCTCACAAGCGGCAGGATCTGCGCAAACGAATTGAGGGCGAAGATAAAGTCAATGGGTTTGATGATAACATGAAGGAAGAAATAGTAAGAACTGCGGCTCGACGCCGGTATCGCGGTCGAAAGTCGTCTGAAAGGCATGATAGTGGTCAAGGCGGTGTCGTTCGTATCACCGGCAGCTTGTTGCAGAAGAGAGGAGAACCAAAAACGACCGTACTCGATGGAACAACTGCGGGCACTCGCTTGTGTAAAGAGATTTCACGTTCTAAAGAGCAACCACGGAATGTTCGTCAGCGTGGACTTGTCATTCCCAGCGCCAAGGATACGCCAAAAGCCGAAACCAAAGTGGGACTATGATTTACGTCGTGTTCGTTTTTTTATCCACCTCAAATTGTTTTAGAAACACTCTTCATCAAGGACAGCCGACGACGTGGGTGCTACGATGAATAAAACAGGGGAAGGTATGATGTAAGGGGTTTGTTGTTATTTTTTGTTTACCATCAATAACTGCCGATTGTCGGATCCGGTATTCCTTGTGTGCGTACATCGGTGATCGATTTTGTCACGTTTTTAGGTCTGAAAAACGACGACGAGTTGTTGTCTCACCACTTCAAGAAAAAGCAAGTGTATGAAGTGAGAAAACGTTTTGCAAACTTGTTTTCAGTTTCGTTTGTGTCTTCCAAGGAAATTGTAGGAGTGTTCGATATTGAATGCCTCACAAATGCACGCTGCAGTCTTCCTGTCTACAAACGGCGACTCGTAGAAAATGCTAAAAAAATTCTGTATACCTCGCATCTCATATCTCAGGGAAGAAATCTACGTGTAAGGTTTGTCCGACCAGTTGGTGGATGATGTTGGAAACCTGACTTTTACAGTCTCCGAAGTGAAATACCTTTTCACAAAATATACATTTGCTTCTTACTGGATTCGCAAGTTTCATCACTGGCTGCCTAATTCACAAAAGTCCTTTCGTTTTCTAGATGAATGAAACGCCTGGGCATGCAGTAATAGTGCTGCTGCTCTTCGCACAATGCTGCATCGTGCCATTGCTTTTCTCTTGTCATCTACTCCGATAGCCGCTGAGGTCCAAACTTTATAGTTGTAATAAAAAGCTGGTAGCAAACCTTTATGGACCTAATCTGCAGGCCAGACCTACATATAGCAGTTGGTCAATTCAGCCATGTCATCAAGTTCGGCGGTCACATCCCCTTCTCAATTTGTGTATCGAATCTTGCAGCAACCAGTGGTGATTATGCCATGAACTGGACCAGTATTAAAAATCTTAGACAATCGCCAGTTCTTTCTATCCTTCGTTGCATAGTTAGTCGAAACCCAGAAGCTTGTCATCTAGAACGGGATCTGCCCTCTTATGATACGAATGTGTTTTGTGGTGTCAGTTGCAGATGCAATTGCTGTGCTTCCAGCACATCACAGTGAATTCATTTCTACTACCGTCACTCCATCAGGTTTCGTTAAGCAGTTGTTGAGTGCACGATCGAAAATTAGCTACTAACTTAATCTTCGAGACTGCAGTCCGCTGAGTCGTCTTTCTCCCTTTCTACATATATAAATTAGCAAGGCTTCGTGAAAATGCAGCAGGAGATTTTACGTGGTACTGGTCACCAGTCTGTAAATATGACTTGAAAATAAAGCCAGCAAGATATTCCTGCCTGACAGCATAGAAGCGAAA